AAAAGGGGACAATTTTTTTTTATTCCAAAAATCCTTTATTTTGGTCCAAGGAGATTTTTTACAAATTATTATTAAAAATGATATCTTTTTTCCAGCATTTTCCATGACTTTGGTCAATGTTTCAGACGATATGGCGGCTATTTCACGTCTAATGTTGTCTTTTAGTTGACTTAAGGTTTTTGGTTTATTAGCGTATACCTTGGATTTCAAATAACCTCACAAATAAAAGTCTGGTGCCGTCCAATCTGGTGATGTTGGGGGCCAGTCAAAATCACCACTTTTCGATATCAACCGCCCAGGGAACAATGTTCGCAACAAATCGATTGTTGCTCTAGCTGTATGGCAAGTTGCCCCGTCCTGTTGAAACCAGAAGTTATCCATGAGATTTTCACGAATAATAGGCATCAGAAATTCGGTTATCATAGCTCGATACTCTCACCATTGAGGGTTATCGTGGCTCCATCATTGTCTTCGAAAAAATACGGTCCGATGATCATATTCGCGCAAACACCGCACCAAACTGTAATTTTTTGGTCGTAAAGTGGCTGTTCTTCGATTAATTGAGGATTTTCGGTTGCATAAAATCGACAATTTTGCTTATTTACGCCTCTATTCATCAAGAAATGTGCCTCACGAAACGCACGTTGATAAATTGAGAATTTATTTTCAATGTAGAGCTGAACAATTTGAGCGCGTTCCTTTGGAGTGTATTGTTCCATGGTATCAATTGTCTTCGACTGACGCTTACAGCGCTCCTAACCGCGCGCCTCGCAGCGGCCCGAAACTGAACTTGAAACTTTAACCGCGAATATCTCGAAATGGTGTTTCTTGAAAAATGACTTTGCGGTGACATGGATTGGCGGAAAACTACTGAACCGATTTACTTCAAATTTTTTTTCAAATGTTCTTAATGAAATTGTCTTGTGTTTGAACGATCGACTTTTCACGCACCAAACTTTTTTTTCGCCGAAATTAATTTTTTAGTGAAATTTCTAGAGACCAAAAAGTTCATTTTTAGCATAAAACGTTCCCGTATCCATAAAAAAAAAATCTTAAAAAAACGATCGTTCAAGCACAAGGAATTACAATAAACTAATGAAATTTTTTTACTTTTATGGTTTCAGTTGACCTGTTCGACCTGGGGAGTTGTCACCGCAAGGCTCTAAAAAAAAGGCCTCTAAGGGAAACAGCAACCCGTTAAAAACTATTTTATATTTTTAAACGAAATTTTTCAAAAACATTGTTAATAAAGTGTACTATCAAAAAATTAAAACACCCGTGTAATAAAATAATTGCTTCATACCTAAAAAAAATCCGAACTTTCCTCTTTTTCTTCGACAAAGAAGGTATATAACCCCTTAAAAACAACGACATTATAATTTTTTTCCATTATTAATATATAAAATATTTTGATCTCTCCTATGACAGCTATATGATAGAGTTATCCGATTTTGATAAAATTTAATCCGAAATTCAATAACAGTTCGAAAACGCCATCTTGAAGAAATCAAGTCCATCTGATCAAAAACAAAGGCGTGAGAATTTTTTATTTCATTCTCTCGTATGGGAGCTATCCGATATAGTCGGCCGATCCGGCCCGTTCCGACTTATATACTGCGTGCAATGACTACACACCTTTTCGGAAAGTTTCAGCGAGATAGCTTTAAAACTGAGAGACTAGTTTACATAGAAACCGACAGGAGGACAGAGGGACAGACGTACATACATATTTCGATTCAGATGGTGATGCTGATCAAGAATATATATACTTTATGGGGTCTGAGGTGTCTCCTTCACTGCGTTGCAAACTTCTGACTGAAATAATCACTTGTGTGCAGTGCGCAGTTTGTTTAAAACGAGGTTTTTTCAATCTGATGCTATTATTGATTAAATGAAACAAAAATAGGTTTTGGATCGGCACTCCAGGATAAAGATGGAAAATGGATGGGGGAAAATTGATGCATATTTGGGCTCAGGCCCTAATGTGAGCTAAATCGCCACGAAAATAAAAAAATCGCGAAATGTTGTACACGATTTATTTGAAGACTAGAGGTCCTGTGTCCGCTTCGCTGGTCAACACAATTTAACAACATAAAAGTCAATGTTGCAACATTTTTCAAATATATGGATGTATAGAAAGATGGTGATTTAACACTTTTCCAGTTTGACTTTTCCACTTGCGCAGCACAATCCAGCCGTTTCTCTTTTAAACTTTAACGCACTGCAATATCGGTATATAGTCGCCATTGGTCCAATATCTAAATTTTCATTATCACTGTAGTTCGCAGTGGGGTCATATTGGAATGCCAAGCGATTTAATGATGTCAATGATCTCCATGAGCTCATTTGTCTTTCTTCGCTTAAGTTTTGTGAATATACTTGTTGCTGGCTTGGATGTCTGCGGCCAATGTTTGCACATCGTCCTCTAAGCATTTTGGACTATGGACATCGTGGTGAATTTATCCTCAAATGCACGAGTTGAGTTAAAATGCTATGGTAGCGTGTTTGTCAGTGTGATGAGGGAGCAACTCACTTTATATGCGACAATATTGCAATTTTCTTACGGATCCCTAATTTTTTTCAAAATAAATTATAGCCTATTTAACTCCACGATAATATAGCTTTCTATCGGTGAAAGAATTTTTTAAATCGGACCAGTAGTTCCGGAGCCTATTCGCTGCAAACAAACAAACAAACAAATTTTACCCTTTATAATATTAGTATAGATAATGAAAAGTATAAAAAAAATTATAAAGGGCTCCAAAAAACAAAGTTAAACGTTTGAGATAAGCGGCTTATAGTGAAAAAGGCCTCCAATTCCACCATGTCCTACGGCGGTTTGGCTCATTATGAGGCCAACAAGGTATCTAAAATCACCATTTGGCCGACTTACTTACTTACTTACCAACACTTGTTGGCAAAATTCTTCTGATTTTTACGAAAGTAGTTCTCGATTCAAGGTTAGTTAAAAATCTCGATATTCGAAAAATCATGCTTGTGGTATTAAAAACAACGTAAATTTCCATTACTTTATGGTGTTTGAGTTTTCTCCTTTGCCTTATTTCCGTTTTTTGGATATTCATTGAAATAGCAGTAGTTGGTTTTTTCGACAAAAAATGTAGAAAAAAATTAGTAAATGGTGGGTTTAATTGAGTAAGAATATTATAATTACAGCTACAATACACTATAACATTTGAGAAATTTTAATTGAAGTGGTACCCTGCACAAAATAAAGATACAATGTATTTTTAAAGTTAGCTCCCATACAAGGGAATAAAATAAAAAATTCTCATGCTGTTGTTTTTGATCAGATCTACTTTATTTCTTCCAGATAGATTTTCTAACTACTATTGAACTTCTGATTAAATTTTATCAAAATCGGATAACTCTGTCATATAGCTGCCATGGGAAAGATCGAAAAATATATATATAAATATTGAAAAAAAATATAACGTCGTTGTTTTTATTCCCATGAGCATAAATTTTAAAATATTTTAATAACGCTTGAATCGACAAAAAAACTTCATTAAAATCCGACAACGTTATCATATAGCTGCCATAGGAAAGATATTGGAATATAGAGTTTTCTAATGGGTCTTGAATTACGAATTAAATTTTAAATTTTGTTGTTTAGCCTTTATGCATTTTGATCGGCATATTTGATGATTGCAAGGGTATATAAGCTTCGGCTTGCCGAAGCTAGCTTCTTTTCTTGTTGTCTTTGATTTTCGCGGCTATGCACGCGCTACAGAGCTTGTATCTGGCAATAATATCATTATTCTAAAGGTCTTGACATAACGTATAAACCGACGCTATGCATATTTAAATGTTGGATATTGCGAATAACATTTATAGACGTGTAAAATGGAGCTCATGTTAATCGTTAAAGGCAAATCTTCTAGAGAAACGTTTTGTGCGATTAATGGTGTTTTGAGGGATGGTAATCTACCACTTCGAACCGCGGAGGAATGGTTTCTACGATTCGGAGCTGTTGAAGACAACACCATGGATAAGCCAGCCGCCAAAAGGCCTGTGACGACGAATACCGTTCAAATCATGGAATACATCGAGTTATGCCGGCAAGTGGCATCTCGTGACATCGACATAAATAAGCAGTTAGTCACCAAACCCTCTGCAGAAGGCTGTAAACAAAAAAAGCTAGATGTTTGGGTGCCGCATGATTTGAACCAAAAACCAGACCAAATCAACACCTGCGATATGCTGCTGAAACGGAACAAACTCAACCCGTTGTTGAATTGAAATTGCAAAAAATTGCCAGAGTTGCGCAGAAACGATTTTTGCACATAAAAAATCAATGTCTGACTTAAGCAGAAACGCTTTTTGCACATAAAAAATCAATGTCCGAGTTGTGCAAAAACGCTTTTTGCACGTAAAAAATCAATGTCCGAGTTGCGCAAAAAGCCGATTGCGGTAAAAAAAAATGGAGGGGTACTTTCAAAGAGAATGCCTGATGGTGGCAAATTTAAGACGAGTAACTTACAATTTGTGGGCACCGGGTTTTTAAGTGGAAATCTGAGTGATTAACAAACTTGTGTTGCGAACGAATCATATAAGCTTTATAGGAACAATTGAAAAAAATATAGGTAGAATATTAACATCGTTGTTGTCTTCGTATTCGAATATACATATGTCGGAAATAAATTCGAGGAATCACAGAATTAATGCTAAAGGCATAGTAGCAGAGACGGTAGCAATCTCTACTGACGAGTTGTCGGGTCGCAATTCGGGGAAGAATAAGGATTCTTGCGAAAGGCATAGCAGCAGAGACGCTGTCAGTCTCTGCTGGTGAGTTGACGAGATGATGATAATAATAGCTGACATTGTGAATGTCAGACAAACGACAAGCAAATATGCTGTTGGCAAGGATTTTATTATTTTAAGGCTTAACTAGACGGGTGGTGAGCTAAGTTTTTTCTATTCTTGTTTTATAATTTCCACAACGTTCTTTAAAAATAAAAAAATTTAATTTGTTTTTGCAGTTCACGTTCACGGCGGATCGTAACAAGTTCATTTAGAATTGTGGGTTTTCGTTTGGAAGACGACACAATAGAGGCAACAAATGGAATACCAAGTGTTTTAGTAAACGAAGAACGATTTGTTCGAGTTTTCGGTAGCGGACTTCAAAAAAATACTGCGATAACTTTCACTGATGAAAACAATGATTATGACGGCCCATGTCTAAAGCCAGCTACTGACCTATTCACACCTATCGAAGTGGCTAGCGACGGCTTTTCAGCGACTTACTCAGTAAAGTTTCCCTCATTTATAGGCGAATTTTATATATGTGCAAAAACGGCCGAGGAATCAACAAATGTAAGTATTCTAGTTCAGATAGTTTGGTATACGAGGTGTGTGCAAAAAGTATCGCGAATTTTAAATTTTCGCGGGTTACCTCGTACCGAATTTCGATTTTTTTGTGGCGTTATGTTGGTATTCATGTCTCTCACTTATGCCGACAAGCTTGGCCATTTTGAATGTTCACTTAATTGTTGACAGCTGCTTTGCTAGTATGTGTTTTGGATCGTCTTCGATTTTTACCTATTCAAAAAAATGGATCAAAGAACCTGTATCAAATTTTGTGTGAAAAACGAAGTGAAGTGCGTAGATGCATTCCGAATATAATCCGAACCGAAGCAACGTTAATCGGTGGTACAAAATGTTCTCAGAAGGCCGAGAAGATGTGAACGACTTTAAGTTCGGTCGAATGTGAAAGTTTTGCTGACAGTTTTCTTCGATTGCAGGGGCGTGGTGCATCATGAGTTCTTGCCACAGGGAAGAACGGTCAATAAAGAATTTTACCTGCAAGTTATGCGCAATTGGCGCGAAGCAATCCGCCAGAAACGCCCGGTTTTGTGGAAGAACAAAATTGGCTTTTACCACGATAACGTCCCTGCTCACACATCGTTGCTTGTGCGCGACTTTTTGGCAAAAAACAACACACTAATGATGCCGCAGCCACCGTATTCCCCAGATCTGGCCCCCTGTGACTTTTTTTTGTTTCCTAAACTGAAGAGGCCCATGAAAGGACGACGTTACGCTACGCTTGATAGAGCTGGGGAAAAATCGATTCTCAGTGCATCGATTCTTTTCAATTTTTTTTTTTTTTTTGTTTTTTTTAGGCTTCCGATACACCGATTTCCTGAAAACCAAATCGATGCATCGGCTAAAAAAAAGAATCGATGTAATCGATGTTGACATCGATTTTTTTCCCAGCTTTAACGCTTGACGAGTTAAAGAAGGAGGAGCTGATCAAGATAAAAAAAATGATTTTTTGAAGTGCTTCCAAGATTGGAAAAACCGTTGGCACAAGTGCATAATATCTCATGGGGATTACTTTGAAGGGGACAAAATAGATCTTCATGAATAAATAAATAATTTTTGAAAAAACACAAAATTCGCGACACTTTTTGAACACACCTCGTACATTGCATTATTAGAGCGTTTGAAGGACGAAATCGCTGAGAAACGGTCTTATTTGTAGAACAATAAGTGCTGTTTCACCAAGACAATGCATCATGTCACAAGTCAATGCAAACTATGGCAAAATTGCATGAATTGAGCTTCGAATCGCTTCCCCATCCACCGTGTTCACCAGATCTGACCCAAGCGTCGTCAGTTTGCAGACCTGAATGGAATGCTCGCTGGCAAAATAGCTAATTCAAAAAGTTGCAACACAGCTATAATGCATTGCCCTCGAATGAAACTATGTTAAATTTCAAAAAAATTTTGCAAAAAAAAAAATGGAACGAACTTTTCAGTCGAACTGTTATATATGTGGGTAGCGTCTTTTTTTTTTAGTTTAATACAGGTTTTTTAACGATTCTTTATTTGTATATTCTTGCAGAAAGTATTATAATTTCCGTCATAAGTTTTCAACGCAGTCAAGAAAACACCTCAGACCCCATAAAGTATATATATTTCTGATCATTACTGATCATCACAATCTGTATCGTACGTCCGTCCACCTGTCAGTATCTTTGTAAACTAGTCTCTCAGCTTTAAAGCTGTCTTACTAAATCCTTACAAAAAGATGAAACTTAAATTGCCCATGAGAGGACACTGGTTTCAGGACATTTCAGCTATCTAAAAGGCAATGACCAATATTCTCAAGAGCATTCCGAAAAATGACATTTAACACATATTTTAAATGCTAATTGACCGGGCTAAACGCTGTATCGAAGCACAAGGAAACTACCTTGAATAAAAACAAGAAAAGAAGCTAGCTTCGGCTGGCCGAATTACCCTTGCAGTAATCAAATATATCAAACAAAAGACAAAGACTAAACAACATAATTTTCCAAATTTTCGTCTATTGTTCATATGGCAACTATATGATATAGTTGTCCAACTTTGATAAAACTTTATTCGTATTTCAAGAGTTGTTAGAAAACTCTGTTCAAAAAATCATGCTTGTCTGATGATAAACAACGATGTTATAATTTTATTTCCGTTATTCTATATACAGGGTGGGCCATTTAAAGTTGACCCACTTGATTCTTAAAACAAAAAAACAAAAAAAGGGACAATTTTTTTTTTTATTCCAAAAATCCTTTATTTTGGTCCAAGGAGTTTTTTTTTACATATTATTATTAAAAATGATATCACGTAAATGGGCACCTTTAGCTCTGACAGCCGAATGCATTCTTTTTTCCAGCATTTTCCATGACTTTGGTCAATGTTTCAGACGATATGGCGGCTATTTCACGTCTAATGTTGTCTTTTAGTTGACGTAAGGTTTTTGGTTTATTAGCGTATACCTTGGATTTCAAATAACCCCACAAATAAAAGTCTGGTGCCGTCAAATCTGGTGATGTTGGGGGCCAGTCAAAATCACCACTTTTCGATATCAACCGCCCAGGGAACAATGTTCGCAATAAATCGATTGTTGCTCTAGCTGTATGGCAAGTTGCCCCGTCCTGTTGAAACCAGAAGTTATCCATGACATTTTCACGAATAATAGGCATCAGAAATTCGGTTATCATAGCTCGATACTCTCACCATTGAGGGTTATCGTGGCTCCATCATTGTCTTCGAAAAAATACGGCCCGATGATCGTATTCGCGCATATTCGTTGCCTGGATACATGACTGGCATTACTTATTGGGTTGGCAAGAAAGTCATGTCGTTTTTAAACTTTTTTTAAACTTTTTATTTAGGTCACACTAGGGTCAAAATTAGAAATTGTAATTTAAGTACCTTCCTGTTGTCAGATTGATCTGAAATTTGGTAAACATCTTCAGTTCCGATGACAATACAATATAGTAATGTCAATAACATTGTAAATCCAAGATGGCGGCCGCAAAGTGGCGGATAACGTAGGTTCTGTCAATCCCATCAATATGGGTATCAAATGAAAGGTCTCAACAAGTAGAATACAATGTACTATATAAAATTAAAATTCAAGATGGCGGCCTCTGCAAAATGGCGGATAACTTAGGTTTTGTCAATCCCATCAACATGGGTATCATTGTCACTGTCAAACACATCAGATTAATTCAGATCAGTCTGACAACAAACGGGGTAAGCTATATCTTATATATAAAAATGAATCGGAGAATGTGTTGGTAAGCGCATAACTCAACAGCGCCTGGACCGATTTTGATGAAATTTTTTGTGTGTATTCCAGGGGGTTTGAGGATGGTTTAGATTCACAATATGTTAAAATAATATTTTTTGTTTTATAAAGCAAAACGAGCTAAAGAAAGTGAAGTTGATAGAAACAAAACTGGAGGTTTACCAGCAGAACTGGAAATATTTGTGGGGGCAAAAGTCATGCTACGGTCCAATTTTGACGTTTCGAAGTGATTAGTAAATGGCGCTATAGGCTACATCAACAAAATCGTTTGGCTTCAATTTTGTCGAACTCAGATGTATGCAACAGATGTTCCTTCCGTCCGAACTGATTTCGAAAAAGACGGAGTACATCTTATACACGCGAAAGCCATAAATTTTCCAGCTAAGTACAATTACGGGACGACTGAGAGAAGAATGTTGCCTTTAATACTATCATGGGCTTCTACAATACATAAAATGCAGGGCAGCACTGTGGATCACGCAGTCGTATACTTAGGTGCGAAACTGTTTGAAGAAGGTCAAAGCTTACGTGGCTCTTAGTAGAGTAAGATCTTTGCAGGGACTACGTATAGAGAAGTTGGACTGCAACAAACTAACGGGCAAGAAACCATGCAATAATGAAGCACTAAATGAATTAAACAGAATGCGAATTAAAAACTAATAAAAGCTTAATCAAATTTGTTAAAAAAAAAACTTTTTAATTTAAAAGGTTTTATGGGGGGACGGTGGCCCAGCAGGTAGAGCGCTGGCCTCCGGTCCGGAAGGCCCGGGTTCGAGTCGAGCCCCAGGCTCCCCGAGAAAAAGAAACGGTCTCTTTTTCCAAATCTCCACCACTTCTATGCTCTATCACTCACTAAAACATTAGTAACAAATTTCGGCTCCCCGGACCCGCACACCCCCTCGTCCACGTTACTATGGACCCAACAATAAAACTTTCGTCACTCCTAGATGGCGCCAGGTGGCAACCCCACCGCTAGGATAAGTCGCTACTGGCTTATCACCGGTACGATCGAAAATCTTTGATAATGAATCCTCTGCAAGAAATTGTAGAGGCTCTAAGCTCCCGGGTGTAGTAAAAGAATGTAAATGTTAAACATACATTGCAATGTTTAAGATAAATGTACTAATTATTGGACCTCTGGGGGCGTCGACCGTTTAAATGACTATTACTCGTGGGAACAAAATGGTAAAAAAAAATATAAATAAAAATGCGAAATAAAAACTAAAAACTAGAAAATAAAAAAGGTAAAAAAAAATTTTAAGTTAAACCGTTTTATGTAAAACATGTACTAAATGTACTAAAAGCCTAAAAATAATATAAAATAGATACAGACGTGGGAAATTTAAACATATGCTTAGACTAGACTAAAATAAAACCGTGGGGCAAGTCAATTGTGTACAATCGTTGATTAAAATGTTAGTTTGCCCCACGGTTTTATTTTAGTCTAGTCTAAGCATATGTTTAAATTTCCCACGTCTGTATCTATTTTATATTATTTTTTAGGCTTTTAGTACATTTAGTACATGTTTTACATAAAACGGTTTAACTTAAAATTTTTTTTTACCTTTTTTTTATTTTTCAATATTTTCAAAGATGATTTATTTATATCAGGACTTATAATTAATCAATTATGTATTGGCCATTTTGTTCGACCACTAAAATTTACGTTCTTTTACTCCACCCGGGAGCTTAGAGCCTCTACAATTTCTTGTAGAGGATTCGTTATCATTGGTTTTCG